TATTAGGAAAATTTTGTTTGTTGTTGAAATTTCTCTTATTATTAAAATTTTTTCTTCTTGGAGGCACTTGGGGTTGAGCTAACAAGGCAGTTGTTAAATTAGCATAATTAAGAGACAACTGTTCCATTCATTTTGTCAGTTCACAATTCATTACTAGCAAGGTTATTTTTAAGGGTAGTAAGAGTAATACTAGTAGTTGTATTAAGATTTTTGGGCATTTTACCAATTGCAAAATTGTAACCAATTTTGATAGTTCTTGCTGAATTTACTGTAGCATCCAAATCAGCTGGATTTTGTGAATATACGAGAGGGGTATATGCAGGATTGAGTATAACAAGAAACATTCTTTTCTTCTGAACATTATCCATCATACCAATTCTATTTACTAATTTCTTGAATTTGTTAGCATACGAGTCAACAGATTTATTGGTTTATTGTCGAAGCATGATAATTATTAATACTATTGATTTCTTTTATAAAATGTGCTTCAAAGAAATCTACAAAGTTTTTCTTATATTGGTTCCTGTATTTCAATGATTTCCAATAATTGCAAAAATTCTTTTGAATCAGTCTGTAGTTGCTCCTTTCATATTCTTCCAACAATAGCTTTTTTCCTTTCTTCCATAATCTATCAATTAGTAGTTGATGTTCGTTCAAAAGAAGTGAGCTATTCACTAGGATCTTCATTCTCAGTTCTATAGAAGTAATTGACTTTGATTGTATGTTCTTCTCCATGTAAATTAGCCCCTCCTATACCATAGATATCCTCTAATGTTTGTCTTATTTGATCTCCTGTTACCATAATTTCTGGTAATTTAGGTGGTGGGATTCCAGTGGTTGAGTTAGATAAACTATTAGCAGAGGCATTGGTGAAGCAAGTATTTGATGTAATAACTGTCTGTCTCTTTGGATTTATAATTAAACTTGATCTAATATTTCAATATAAACACTTCTTAAAATAGATAGTGTAACTTGTCTTTCAAAACGGTTGGTGTTAAATGCTACGCTTTGTATATATAATTATAAGTTGACAAAGAATATGTGTGTAGTCTGATAGCAAATACTAGAAAGTATAGATATTATAACACTTTTTAATTATTCGTCACGATATTCTAATTCAGTTGTATGGTATAGGCTTTTAAATAAATTAAATGAAACAGTTGTTCTTGTAGAATAGGTATTGGCTTGATGTTCAAAGTTAAACCAAATCCAAAAGTATATAAAACTATCTGTGAGGTTATTATTTGAGAGTGAAGAATAACACCAAAAGCAAGTATAATATACGTTTAAACTAGTATTAGAATAGTGTCTCAGTTGTATTATGTTTAACTTCTTTAAAATTCATACACCTCGCTAGTTTGTTAGCAGTTCGTTGTGTATATTATCAACAAAGAATAGCCTGGCAGGAATCATCACTTGTTAAGCTTAAACTGTTTGTCATTAAGTTAACAAAGATTATTTGTTAGCAGGGAGTTTAAGTACATCTAAACTATGGAAGAAATAAACACGAATAATTAAATTAAAGGTTCAGGTCGTCTTTATTGATATAGATTTAAAGAAGAATGAATTGTTTAATGAGCAAAGATAAGTTTTAGAGATAAATGTTATTGATTTATTAGAGAATTGGTAGTGACTCTGCCATTTATTGAGGCAGAAATACAAAGTATTTATATAAAATACATCAATATAAAATAGATATTTAAGAAAGTAAAGAAATATAAGAAATATAAGAAAATAAAGATATTAAATATATTAATAAAATATGTGAAATTAAAGAAATTAAAGATCACTAAGAAATTAGTAAAATCTGAGAAATCTGAGAAATGGTAGAAATTTGAGAATTATGATTGATATGATTACTATTCATTAATTAAGTTAGGCGCAGTATTGTGAGTCATAACAAGACAATCACTAACAACGTATAAATTTTATGTAAATAAAAAATAATAAAAATAACAATACTATACATCTAATTAAATGTTTTAATTTTTAAATTTTGTAAGACAATATATTCTCCTTGAATTCTTCATCAAACTTAATAAAGTAAATACAATGCTGATAAAAACTTATTGCATTGTTTAATTTCTTTATTTTAAGTATATGAACATTATTATTATTTGATTGTATTATCTTTTAATCAATTGTTTGAATAATTTTCATGAGAATATTTTCAGTATTAACTAGTTTATCTAAAAAAGTTTAAACACGTATTTTTTTAAAAAAAACTTTATTTAAATGAGTTTTTTTAAAAATGACTTTTTATTTTTTTTCAAAAAAAAAAATAAAAAATAGATGAAAATACAAATGATAAATAAAGCGATGAACAACAAAAAAGACTTTTGGAATTACATGAATTATCAGTAAAATGGATTTTTGTATTTTATAAACATACAAAAAAATCATTATTATCAACATAACTTTCATCATCATTTTTTCCATCACAATCATCATCATCATCATTATCATCAATAATAATTTATCTTTAATCAAGACGTACTTCTTCAGTTTTATTACTATTATAGTTAGTATATATTTTTTTAAATAAAAAAAAATAATAAGTAATTTTTTAATAATCATAATTTTTTTATTAATATATTAATATAAAAGAAAAACATATATATTACTATCACCATTATTATCATTACTATTATCATCACTATCATCAATATCATCATTATTAATAATAGTACAAATAATATTAATAATACCACCAATATCATCATCATTATCATCATCAACAACGTAAATAATATAATATTTATATATTTTATATAATAATTATAATTGTTTTAATTATTTTCTAATTTAATTATAGTAAATTATCAAAACTATCAAATACAACCATAATAATATTAACAGCAGCAAATTCATTTTATAAGAATATGTATTATTTTTATAATCAATTAAGCTATTAAATACATCACTGTTTAGATATTTCAATTAAATATCGTAATTTTTGTTTTAAATGCTAGACTACAAGTGATTATATGACAAAAGACTGTATAACTTCACAAAATAAACCTTTGTAAAAGTAAGTAAAATATTAATAATGAAATAAAAAAGGATTTATTTATAAATATTAAATATATTTTTTTTTTATAGTTTAAGTTATAAATATATAACTATTACAATAACGTCAATACCAATAACACAATCAATACTAATGCCAATATCAATACCAACGCCAATGCCAATGCTAACACTAATACCAATATCAATGCTGTTACGTCCAATTTGTAACTCAAATAAAATTCACAAAATTTATCATGCTAAGACTAAACTCAGGGATTCACAACAAAGATTTGTAGTAAATGACAAAGATTATTCTCAATTATATACAAGTAACTTCTGGATATTTCAGAGATTACGTTTTAGTGAATACACCTTAAGTCAATACAACAAATCAATACAATATCATGCAAAGTTAATAAACAATAATAATATATATATAGGTAAAAGAGTTGTGAAGGATAAGTTTTATCTTGGTTAATTATACTCTTGATAATAATATAATAAATTGTAAGTCTTTATCTCGTAAGGTATAGGATTCTTCAAAATCGAATTAAATCAAATATTTAAGCAATTTGAATTTGATTTAATTTTTTCAAATCGAATCGAATCGAATTAAACTCAAATATTTGTTCGAATCAATTTGAATCAATTTTAATTTGATCGAATCAAATCAAATTGAATCAAATATTTGTCAAATCAAATCAAATCAAATCAAATATTTGATCGAATCAAATTGAATCAAATCGAATACAAAAAATTTTTTAATTTTTACAATGATATATTAAAATAAAGTTATTATAAAGGTTTAATTAAGAAAATTATTAGTAATTGCACTAAAAAATTTCAAAAATAGCTTTTATAAAGTAAGTTTAGTAACAGGTGAATTTTTATCATTAAACTTAGTAAAATAACTCCGCAGTCTTGGTTTTACTAAGAAAATTTAGTAATAACCGCTATCGCAGCTTTAATTTACTAAGAAAACTTAGTAATAACCGCTATTGCTACTTCGGATTACTAAGAAAACTTAGTAATAACCGCCATTGCAGCTTCAGTTTTACTAAGAAAATTTAGTAAAAACTGCTATCTCAGCTTCGTAACCAATTTATTATTAAAAAAACATTTCTGAAGCTACAGAGACGTTTTTTTACTATGTTTTCTTAGTAAAATAACATATTCGAAGCCGCTATAACAGTGTAAAATTTTGGCTAAAATCTGATTACAAATCCAATGTCAATTAAATATCCTTGTTTATCATCTCATCGATCCTGATGTCAACTTTATGTCCTGAAATAATCAATGTGAAACATTGTAGATCCAGATGTCAATTTTATTTCTAGTGTAATAGCCAACTTTATTGACATGATAATCTTTGCTGATCAATTTTGTCATCTTTATTTCCTTGACGATGTCATTTATTTTTCATAGATTTATTTAGTTTAGTTTATTTTATAATTATCAAACATGTATGAATATCACTGTATTTTTATTAAGTCTCGATACCTTACGAGGTAAAGAACTTACAATTTATTATATAATTAATAAAGAGTATAATTAACCAAGTTAAAACTTATCCTTCGCAACCCTTTTACCTGTGTATATATTATTATTGTTTATTAACTTTGCGTGGTATTGTATTGATTCGTTATATTGACTTAAGGTGTAGTCACTAAAATGTAATCTCTGAAATATCCAGAAGTAACTCGTGTTTAATTGAGAATAATCTTTGACGTTTACTATGAATCTTTGTTATGATTCCCTGAGTTTAGTCTTGGTATTATTAATTTTTGTGAATTTTACTTGAGTTATAAATCGGACGTAACAGCGGCCAATAATAGTTTTCTCTAATTTTTTCAAAGACCTTTTCAATTCCTAAGTATCCTCCAATTAGTTGATTATGTGTCACAAAAAGAACTGTTTTATTTCATGCATTTTTAGAACTTTAAGAAAATTTCCTTTGTTTTTCTTGTCTTTCTTAAATAATTGATTTTCTAAAATCTCAAAATGTTTTGATTTGCTAATTTTTTATCATTTGATAATACTGAAATAATTAAATATTCTTTCAACTGGTTATATCGATTTTCTTTTATTTTGTTTAACTTAAGCTGCCAATCACATTATTGACACTTTCGCTTTCACTTAGTTAAATTTTTCAAACGTTGAGACTTTTACTCACTAATTGCTGTTCAAATAAATGTAAACTCTTTTAAAAATAAAATAATAAAATTATATAAATAATATTGAAATTGACTATTTTTAAACTAAATAAATGTTAAAATTAAACAATAAAACTAATAATCTGGAGTGCTAACTCTGCTAAAAGTTTTGTTAAAGTTGGATGAGTAAATAGGAATAATAATAGGTGCGAACAGTCCAAATATTTTATATAATTCATTCTCAGTCCAATCACGTATTTGAGGATTCTTAATTTGTTTTAATAATTCAATTGCCGCAAGACATACTTCATCATTTCATTTTACTTCTTCAGTTATGTCCCAGAATACTTCATTGATTAAAGTTTCAGATACCATTTTAGGATGTATTTGTCAAAGATTATAGCCTACAATACATTCATAGTTTAAGTTGGTTGTAATAATTATTCCACAAAGGGTATAATTAACAGAATACTCTTGAGCAAATTCCTCAAGTTTGCTACCATTCATTTGTTTGATAGTAGTTTGCTTAAATTCAGCAGCTTTTAAGAAAATATTGTGCAAATTTTGTTTTCAATCTTGTCCTTTTCCATCGAGAATGGATTCAATTTCTTCTTCGCTAAAGTTAAATTCTGATTCACTATTATCTTCTACTTGTTCAGGCGATTATTCATATTCTGCTTTCTCTTCATTGGCTGTCATATTTAAATATTCGTAATATTCATGTTCATTACATTGGCAAATAGTTTGTTCCGTTGGTAAAGATATGTAGATTCCATATGAATTAGCACATTGGTAACATTTAGTATAATACCAATGAGCGTGATGATCATTTTTATTACAACTGTAGCTATTTTTTTGATACTTTCTATTATTATGCAATCCATTCTATTGCCATTTCGTTTAACATTCAGGAACATCTAATGCAGAAATATATACTTGAATCCATTGATTATTTTCTTCTAAGTCTTTTTCATATTCAGGTAATGAAATATTCCCTTGGATTTATCTTTCTGTATCTGCAAAATTTTCTTTGCTAGCAATTGAAGGTATGAAGCATTTGATTACTTCATCTGAGCTTTCATTATTTTCATAATTAATCCTTGATAATGCGTCAGCATTTGCATTATTTTTTTCAAATCGATGCTGAACTTAAAATGTATATTGCTGTAAGTCAACAACCATCTTGCTCTTTTCATTCTATTTTTTACAGTAGAAGTTTGTAACCATTTTAAAGCAGCGTTATCACTTACTAAAATAAAAGATTTAAGTAAAGTAAAGTGATGAAAATATTTGCCTAAATAATTGCCAGGCATTTTAACTCTTATACGCTATAATTTATTTCATGTTCATTCAAGGTTCTACTTGCATAAGCAATTACTTTTTCTTTTCCTTGATCATCTTTTTGTGCAAGTACCGCTCCAAGTCCAATTCCAGAAGTATTAGTAAATAAATAGAACATTCTATTGAAGTCTGAATATTCAAGTATTAGGACTTGTATTAACTTTTCTTTTAAGATTTCAAAAGAATTTTTACATTTCTTGCTCCAGTTATAGTCAACTCCTTTCTTTGTAAGATTGTTTAATGGTTTCGCAATCTTAAAGAAATCTTTAATAAATTTGCGATAATACGATGCTAATCCCGAAAATCCTTTAATTTGTCTCTCATTTTTAGGAACAGGGAAATTTTGTACTTTCTCTATCTTTAGGAATCGGTTTGGATTCTGTGTTCATTGATTTTGTGTCTTAGAAATCGTAATTCTCTTTTAAACATTTCACATTTCTCTTCTTCAATGCTAAATTTGCAGTTTCTAACTTATCAAAAAGCATTTGTAAATGTTTGCAATGTTCTTCAAAACTGTTTGAGTAGACAATAATATTATTAATGAATACTGCTACAAATTGGTCAATATATTCTTTTAATATTTTATTCATCATTTTCTGAAAGGTTGCTGGTATATTGCATAGTCTAAAAGGAATAACATTAAATTCGTAATGTCTTCCTTTAATAACAAATGCAGTTTTTTCTCTATCCTTTTAGTTCATTTTGATTTACCAGAATCCGCTTGCTAGATCAAAAGCAGAAAACCATTTTGATCCATTCAAACTTTCTAATATTTCATCAATTCTTAGTAGAGGGTATGCATTTTCTCTTGTGAGTTTGTTTAATCAATGCATAAACTTTTTTTGCCATTTGCCTTTTCACAAGGATAGCTGAAGATGCCAGGGACTATTTGATTCTTGAATAATACCTTTTTCAACATCTTTTTAATTTCTCCATCAATGAAATCTTATTCTTTTTTTGTAGTTTAATAATAATTTCTTCTGATTAGGTCAGCATTTTTGGTATTAATTCGATGTTGGGTTACATTAGTTCATCCATCTTTTGTCAATTGTCCTGTTTCAGAAATATTGGTCTGAATCTACTTTCATTATCTTTGATCAAATTATTAATTTTTTCTTATTGCTTTGTAGTGAACTTTTCCTTTTTAACTTCAGGTTGAACAATTTCTGCAATATTACATGATAAGGTATCCCATAAAATTCTGTTCAGAATTTCGTTTATAAAATTGATATGAGTAGGAGTATTTTTCTCTTGTTTTGCCATTTCCATATTTTAAGAAGTTAAAATGAATCTAAAGTTCATTTTTGTCCTTTTCGATTTGCTCCAATTCTACATCTTTTGATACTTTTGTAATGTAAACGTTGCAATTAAATTCAGGGTTATTGAATAAATATTTAAGATCTTTATCTTTTAAAATTATTCCTGTTTTTTCTTCAATTTTCCTAATTGTTGCTTTTATTGGGATTTCTCGCTTAACTACTTTTCCACCAGTAGTTTGCCATAATCCATTCATAATTTCTCCTTTTCTGATCGAAAAAAATAGGCCATCTTGATCATACAAAATGTTTAAAACATATTTTGGGTTCTTTACTTCTTTTATAAGATTCTTTTTTCATATTCTTCCATTTCATCTGCCCAGGATTGAGTAGAAGTTTCACTTTCATTATCAATGTCACTCTGATAATCTGAAGTTTAATATGAAAACTTTCTCTTTCCTCAGCATCATCATCAGTATCGTATTCCAATTTTTCATCCATCATTTGGTCGATTTCTTCATCAAATACAATAGTTAGTATTCTATTTCATACTACATATTGCATTAGAACAATACCTTTGTTAAGACCACTTGTTATGAGCATTTCATTATTGTCAAAGTCTACATTAACTTTATTTTTCTTACACCAATCTATTCCTAGTAATAAGGTTTCATCTGTTGATTCGATGACTTAAAAGTTGTTTTGATAAGAATTTCATGAATAATCAAAAGTACATTTTTGATTACTCCTAATGCTCTTTCTCTTTGTCCATTAGCTGTGATAATAATCATTTGTGATACTTATTGAATTGTTAACCCAAGTTTTTTCATTAGCTTTTTTATCATAATACTAACTGCTGCTCTGGTATCAATGATTGCTACTGAGTTCCATTTGATATTAACATGACATCTTAATGTCATAGTTCTTTCACCTTCTTCTGTTGGATTGGTTTGTGCTATATTTCCTTCTAATTTTGGTTATCTTATTCCTTGAAGAAGTTTTCTTTGTTGTTTTCTACATTGCATCATTTATCCAATATTGATATTTGCTTTTACATTAACAAGGGCATCTTAAATGTTATATGATTCAATAGTATCCAAGATTGATGTTCTACTTGGTATTCTCCTCCTTGGCATAGTAGTATTATTGACTATAGTCTCAGATATTTTTCAGTAATATTTATAGGTTCGTTTAGTTTACTTCTGATCTTCCTGGTTGTAGTCTCTCTTTGAGATTCAGATCTCTTTCTTCTAATTGCTGGAAAGACTTCCTGTTCAAACATGCTTATTTTTCTTTTGTTTGAGTCATTATTCTTTGCATGCTAACTTTCTTGAGGCATAATATTTTCTGAAAAACATCTTTCTAACAAACTCGATATAATAGAGTATTGTAAGAATCTCAAGATGAATGAAATCTTTCTTGTATTTCTATTATAGTAAAATATAGTCTAAGCTGATTGTTTTGAGATATTTTTCAAGGCAAGGCTTAGGACCCATTATTCTATTATTTGAAACAGCAACTAGGACATCACATATCATTATTCTTCGCAAACATATTATGTGAATGATAAGATATGCATTTTCAAATAGTGATGGTATATTTCAAAAGGTTAACACTCACCCTTACAAAATAAAACTTATAAAGAAGTTTCATAAGAAAAATGATCTACACATTCTTCTATGACTCACTTAAAGTCTAGATCTCAATATAATTAAAAATCTTTGAGTTATATTAAGAAAGCGTGGTAAAAAATTCCCACGCATACTATTAAAATTTGGTCAATAATATATTGCAACAAATTTAAGCTGTAATTAAAGCTAATAGAAATCTAACTAAATATTAATTACTTAGTATGAAATGTAAATTGAATCCATTTTAATAAATATATAAATTTTTTTTAAGTACAATTATAAAATTTTTAAGTTTTATATTAAGCCAAAAAGTGTTTGAAGACTTTTGAAAACCCTTTGTAATTTTTAAAGAAGAAGCAGATGATGATAAAAAAAGGCAACTAGTAATAAAAAGACAAATACTTCAAATCAAATTCCAAAAGAAAAGGATATCAATGAAGCTGATACTGAAATTGGAAAAATTGTCATGGACTTGCACTTTAAGTGGTATTATACTGAGCATAATAAAAGCTGCTACATTGATTTAACAAAATACATTACTCTGATGATAAATCATTTATCTACATGAGCTAGTTCAATTGTAAGTTATTTAAAAATTGATTGAATTTTTGTAAGACACCATTATGTAATATTTATGATATGATTATGATCATGTAATAATTATAATATTTGCAATTACATGTTCGTGGTTATGATTGTATAATATAACATAATTATGATCATATAATTATATTTGTGAAATGTAAATTACTTATTTTTATTTAAATTTATTTCATAGAATCATAATTTTGCTACTTTAGACAAACCTCTAACCTTACTACTATTTGATATTACTAATTTAGTAAAAAGAACTAATAATAATTTAAAAATTCAAATATTCAAACTTCAAATTCTTTTTATCTATCTAATTTTGCTTCATTATCATCTTATATTGCTATGCTTTTCAAGTTTATTATCCAAGCATGTTTAATCAGCAAAATTCATAACCACCTCAACTAACTTATACATTATAAACAAATATTTCAATTTCTATTCCTTTATTTGCCAAATTTTTGGTAACTTAGAGAGGGAATTTGGTGAAATACTTTTGAGAAAGTGAAAAACAAACTTATATAGGAAATAATCAATGTTTTAGATATATTGGATCTTAAAGAAACTGATTGGTAGGATTTAAAAATAAAGATTGGTTTAAAAACCAAAATCATTTGAGAAGCTGAAAATATAGGAAATAGATCATCTTAAAATATCTTTTTCTTCTTTTTTGTAATATTAACATAATAATAGCAAAAACTAATAAAAAGATCAATGTATAATAGTAATTCATTATAATTATTATAAAATATTTAATAAAAAAAATAAATCAGAGATACAATGTTCTTTGAAAAAATGATTGGGATATTGCAGGAGTAATTTGTGCACATGCTATTGTTAAAGCTAAATAAGGATAAGAACAGTTTTCTACATAATTTCTATTTTTTTTAACCAGCTTTTTAATTGCTGTTTTAATCAGATTTAAACCTGGTGAGTATGGAAGAAGAAATAAAATTTTACATCCGATTGATTCTATAAAATTTACCAAAAATTCAATTCATTATGATGAATTTGGGTATTATCCATTACTAAAACATTATTTTTCTGGGGAAATGGATTCATATTTTGAAGCTATTATAAAAATTATATATGTATGTGTAATACGAACGTGTAATACACATTTATTAGTTTTTAATTTATTAATCAGATTTAAGTATAAAATTATAAAATTAAACTTACAACTTTAGCTAAAATAAATTACAAAATTGTTCCTTATTACAACTCCCTTGCATAATACTATCTAATGATAAACTAGAAGTATTGTGTAACGCGTTCCTCTAATAAACACAACTTTTTTTACTGCCTTTTGATTGTGCGGAGAGTATCCATATTGTCTACAAGGAGTACATTCATCCTTCGTTCTTTCATCCAGAAAGATAAGTTGTTCAGATCGAGAATATGTTCCAACATTCCCAACATTCATTATATAATGACCACGAAAAATTTCACTTCTTTCCTTAGCATGTTTTTCTAACGTTGAATTATAATAAATTTAGTTTGTGTTATTATAAAACTAGATTATTAATAAACGAAATATACCTTCTTATGTGTAATTCCACAATATTTTAAATAACGCCATATTGTTGAAATTGAGACTTCTTTTCCGGTTCTTCTTGTCATTTCAACAACCATTTCATCCAAATACATATCAGGCATTTCTTTAATCATTTGTACTAATATTTTTAAAATATATTAAATAATATTCTAAAGTTATAAGAACATTTAATAGTTAAAATACAAACTTTTAAGTCTGAGTTACTAAAGAATTTCCTTTGTCCTTTCAGTACTTGTATTGGATTTTTGACACTTTTCCAAAGTATATAATAATTCAAAACACTATATATTGTAGGTTTTCTTATATAAAGCAATTTAGAAATTTGTTCCATAGAATAGCCATCGTTCCATAAGTATATAACCCTCCATTTAAAATCTTCACTGTATTTTTTTGGCATAATAATATTTTTTCTAAAACGATTTTATCCAAAATAAACAAATGTTTATGCACTTTTATTAAAGTAAGTTGTAAAAAAATGAAAGACAAGTTATTATATTTTGTGTTACGTAGTTCGAAACTGAAAGTAGTGATAGTTATGAGTTCACGTTATTACATAGTAACAATGCAAGAAAAATTAAAATTTTACAATTTAACACTGGGTTTATGAAACGTTGTTCAAATAAATTACGTCCTTGCGAGAAATCTATGACTAATCGAAAGCTGGGGAAAATTGGAGAAAGAAATATAAGACTTCTTGATATGTTCTTACATTCGATCAAAATACCATCGTTTTTATACCTTAAATTCAAAATGACAATTTGTCTATTGATTAGAGGAGGAAATTTTGACAAATGACCATTTTGGCCTATTTTGATCAAGAAAACCACTATAAAAAATAAAAATGTCTGATAATTATTAATTAAACATCGTAACAATGGAGATATTATCCATTTTCATATTTCGAGGTTGTAGAAGCGAATAGTTTACCATTGAAACAAACATAATCGTAATATTACTATTTGTATATTTGAAATTACTTTTGTTATACAGTAATTGAAATCGTAATATGCTAGCATTATCAAAATTCGATTCACAAATATAAAAAGAAACCCAAATTGAATAAATTAATCCATTATTTTTCACATTTACTTTTTCACCAAAAGATGTTTAATTAATTTTTAAATCTTATCGTTATTATTGACTCATTAAAAGGTTGAAAGTCCATTTAGCTTTCAAGTAAAGGATCGTGTTATATGCTACCAGCATAAAATAAAAAAAGCATTGAGCAAAACGATAGTTGTCTCGGCAATACAACCCAATTTCCCCGTTAATGTTAAAAAGCTGAAGTGAAAATACTAAAATAATTAAGCACCACGTCATTATCAATTAAGGTAAAAATTAAGTTCTCCCGTTAGTGTTATTTCGATAATACAACGCTCAATGTTGGAAAATGATATAATTTTGAAATATATATGTTGTTTTCAAAGAAATTGGTAGATAATATTAAGGAAAAGTTACTTTTTGATAGGTGATTATTTGTTTTAAATAAATCTTTTTTTCAAGGTAATTTTACATATTACCTTTTATTATCTTATCCTGAGGAATTTTTTTAAATCAAAACGACCAATATTAGATTACTGAAATCAAAATTAAGAATGAGGATTTGATGAAATTTCAAGAATACTTTAATCTATGTCAATTCTGGCGGATCTGTTGGTTTTGACTTTTCGGACCTTTACGCTAGTTCTAATCCCTCGAACTGATGTAATGTATATTTCAAAATGACCATTTTTGACATCAGGGATCAATTAATTAACATATCCGTCATCCAAGCCGCAAGTTTGCTGTAACAAAGCCATGAGAAGGAATTTTAATAATTCTCTCTATCACAAAGCGCCGGCAGAGGCATGAATAGTTGCATTTATTGTATTCATTTGATAATTCACCCAATAAATTATTTCTTTATTTATTTAAAAATTTGATTATTTTAAAATTGATTCACATTCTATTTTCGTTACATTGCAATTACATATAATAAACACAAATTACCTCTCTTACGAAAATAGAAGGTCGTGGAAATTATAGAATTATAAGATAATCCTGTAACGTAACTGTGTCTTTATTTACACATTAACTGCTGTACCTTCCAGTTTATAAAGTATCGAATGATACCAATTTATGAATCCGCGGGTTTTAGACAGAAATTGATAGGTAAAGGTTATCGTTAAAGAAGAAAAAGAATCCGCAAAAGAATACATTGATTTAATTCAGGTAGAATTTCAAAGATCCATTTTCAATTATTATTATATCGTGTATAAAATGAAATGAATATTAGCGTGCTTATTTGTTAGAATATGTTGAAAATATTTTATTTGGCAAAAAATTACGAACTTAAACATGATTCTGAAACCAAATATTTTTTTGTTCTCATCAATAACATCACAAGATGGGAAAATACTTGATACTGATGTTGTATCTTATTCTAATAAAGATGAGCTTACATTTACATGAATCTGAATCATGACTTCAATTATTCAAAATATTGAATCACCTTCACATGTAATTGCTACTGAAATAACTAACCCTAAAATTGCTAAAAAAAAATAGTTAAATCACAACTCGATTTCCAAATGAATCTCTTTAGCCGAACAGATACTTATCTGGAAAATGACTTCATTCTTCTGATTAAGAATAAATATTTTGATGAACCTCGTAAATATTTTATGCAATGTATTTTTTTTTTAAATTTCAATTCATTCCATATTTTTTTTATTATTTTTTTTTTAATAAATAAAATTTCTTCATTGTAACAGAAACAATTAACGTTAGGACAAATAACTTAGTTATACTTTTTTTTAAAAGACTAAATATTTTTTTTATATAAAGATAATGATCAATGAGCGCGAAAAGGGCTGTGCAATCACTTGAGTATCTTTTGGATCTAAACACTAATCTCTTTTCCCCAAAAAGTCAACTTATTCAGAAACATCATTATTCTCAAGCTATTGACCTTGATCAATAAATGACCTTAAATTATGGTGAATCGTAAATTTTTAAGTATTAAAATAGTATTTGAGATTTCAAGAGATAATATGCCAACTATGCCAACTTCAATATTTCTCAAGTATTTAATGTTAAACAAGCTGTAGTAATAAAACCGAAGAATAAAGGAAGGATATGATGATTCGACAAACTCTGTACTTAATTCCACGATTTTGATTTCGTTATATATTGCATTTGGAGAAAAATATTGAACCGTGTAGAGCTGTCACTTTACATGACACTTCTCAAATGGTCCAATTAAGTTTGGATACTTTGCAAGGTTCGAGATCCATAGAGTTCAACAAGAAAACTTATTCAAGATCTGTATGGTTAAAGAACATATGGGTAAGTACGTACGAAAATCATGCGGCGTAATTATATAAATCATATGATCAAAACCTGATTTTCGTAATATAATTATCTCCACAAGAATAATATTTGAAGTTGATCCAAATCTGATGATGATACTAGCAATAACAGTACATGCTAGGATTATTATTATTAGCATAGTTGAGTTGTTGATAAAAAGTTAATTTGATCTTAAAAGAGCAAATCGTCAAAAGTTCAACGTACACTTACCTTGATAATCAAACATTACTTTGCATAATTAATTATTAAAAAATCAATAAAATAGAATTAAAAATAAATGAAAGCAAGGAGAAAGTATTTGTTCAAAATACACTGCTACTTAAATTTCATCAATACAGCTTCTGCTCCTTACATTCGATTTCAATGATAATGATTCTTTATTTTTTAATTTGGTTCTAAATAAATGAACTAAAATAGTTAAATTCTATTTATTTAGATTTATCATTCACTTCAATTTCAAATTCAAGACAACCAGTATTTAATTAATCCCCATTTTACAGATCAAATTATTCCTCCTACTTTTAAGTTACGAAATTTTTTAAGTGCAAATTCTTTAAAAATCGCTAATAATTCAAGTTCTTCTAGAATGACATAATTATTCAAAATGTGTATGCTTTCTAATTCACAACACTTTAAAATTTCTTTTAGCGATTTCACCTTTCCATCTAGAAATGAAGTTTCGTAATGAGGTCAGATTTGGACAAAATTTGACTATAATTAAATTGAATGAATCTCATATCTTCACAAATCCAAAGTTCTAAATATGGACATTCACATTCAAATTTTAAAATTTTCAATTGAGGAAATTAGACATATTGTAAAATTTTAAAATTCTTGCAACCGCCTTCGTTAACTGAGGTTATTGAAAGTTTTTGTAAATTCGAAAGTTTAGAAATTAAAAAATATGACATACTCCAACAATGCGTAGCCTGATTAATGTATCAGGAAAATTGTAAATGGTTGGTCTTTAATATAAAGGTTATGTTTTTGAACAGAAAATAATTCTACAAGTCCATTTGAGATGCAATTTTCAATAATTATCTTTAGTAATTGTAATTTTTATGAAATTTTAGATAACTGGTAAAAAATACTGGATAGAGATTTGAACTACACCTCAATTCAGTAAGATTACTTAAGTATTTCCTACTTCAGTGTATTCGAAAATATTCTCGTGCTATCACTATAATTATTTGATATTCGTCAATTGGTGATGTAATTTAAGAAAAATTTTAATAAAGAGATCAAATTTACGAAAACAAAGACTTTGAATAAATGATATATAATGAATTGATGGAGGACTTACGATTGAGGTCGTCATTTTGATTTCATTATCAAATAAACCTTTTTGCATTTATCATGAAGGCAAGGAGTAAAGTATTAAAATTTTACATTCTCCTCCATAAAATTCGAGCGATAACCTCACACCAACGGCAGTTTACTAATAAACATGAAAATAAATCATCCATATCATCTTTCAAGTATCCAAAATTTTCATTTAAACAATCAAAGGAGAGTTCACGAGGCATATTTTTTAGAGAAAGAAGGGTGAGAAAAAAAAAAGGAAAGGGCAATCTTGTTATTTAAGGAAATTTCGTATGTAGTTCGTGTAACCTGGGCGATTTTAACATATTTTCGTGATGGCGTTAACAGACTTTAACTTTATATGTTATGTTAGAATGCTTTAAAAGGAATATAGATGATATACAAGTAATGAATAAAGGTACAAAGAAGAAAAAAAATTTTTTGATGTTATAATTACCAAGAAGGTTTATAATTAAGACCGGAAGAATATATCTACTAAATCTTGTTTATATTTCAGAATCATCAACATTACTTAAGGAAAGATTCTTTCGAAACAATGTTAGATTGCCAAATGTTTACTGTTTGAAGAAAAGGGACAATCTATAACACCCACTCAAGCTTATTTGTAAAGATCCAGATATTTTTTAAATCCTTGCTTCTGTATGGTAGACACAATACAAAGTTCCTAAAATTCAATTGATGTTTAATCACTTAAATAATACCTTTTCCAATTTAGGCGTGAAGAATAATTACGATCTTTAACAAATTTGACATCGAAAGTAAAGCTGGTCGTAAAATTAATAACATTCCAATTTATCAAATTTGCATGTTAGACCGATATAATGTCAATGGTTTATCTTAAACAATTTAATTTCAAACCATAATACACCAACTACCTTTAAATTTAAATAACAAGGAACACTTAGTCTAGGGATGCGTCAATACGGTCCAGTCCGTCCGTGGTCCTGATAACCGGTCCTTAATACTGTTGTGGACGGACCGGACTGGTTTATAAAACCGGTTTACATGACCGGTTCAACAGAACCGGTTCATAAATGTTTGAAACTTTTTTATTTTACTAAAATGTTCTCATCAATCAATATTAGCATTATAAAATATAAAAAATAAAAAAAAATAGATGGGATTCTCAACGAAATCGCTTTTTTTTAAAAAAAAAAAAATTGGAAATTTAAAAAATTTCACACGATCAACAGTCTTGTATCAAAATGGGAATTTCGAAATGCACTCAAAATTTATCATTTTTGTTGGATGTATAATATAAACCGGTTCAGACCGGTCTCTAGATCACGGACTTGTGGACCGGTTCATTAACCGATTTACGGACCGGTTTTGCCAGGACTAAAAAAAAAAATAATTCGTTGTTGACGCAGATTTCCTTGATTTCTCAAGTCAACAAACACTTCTTTTACTTCTTATTTAGTTCATCCGATGTATAATTTTTGTAGTATTTAATTATTACGATTCGCTAGTGTAGTCAATTTTCGTATCAATTCATTTATGAAGACACAAAGAAGGTTGAAAGAGTAAATAAACAACTTTATTTATTAGAAATTCTACTAGCCTTTTCTTTAGACTTTTTATCATAATCTAATTGAATCTTTTGATATAAACTTTTACGTGATTGAATTCCCGAACTATTTATACAAAATCGTTGTTTCAATTTACTAGCAGATATAATAAACTTAATAAATACAACTAATCTAATAAATAAATCAAATATAATACATTTAACAGATAAATAAAATAAATAAAATATTAAAATATCCGATATTAGCAGACACCAACGAGTTTTTACGGAAAATTTCTTGACGCGTGAATTTATAAGTTAGTTATTAAAAGTTCCGTTCGAAATTTATAAATTTATTCGAATAGTATATATAAATATAAGTATGAAAGTATATGGAGAAAGTAACTTTGCAGTAGAGCGGAGAGAATTGTAAAAATTTTTTTAAGTTAAAGCTAACTCATTCCGGATGTAATTTACTTTAATATCATAGTTTTATTATTATCATTTTTTGTATTATCTACCGTATTTTACCGAAAATAAGCACAAACATATTTATATAGGACCCGAAAATAAGCACATTTGTAAAATTTATTGTAAAAATTTAACCAGACATATTATAAATGCGAAATAATGTTTACAAAAAAAAGAAATAAG